ATGCCCCCAAATTGCCCTATGGAGTTCAACTCAAAGTGGGATGCCTGAATCTCTGGTGCCACAATTCCAGGATTTAAATCGTCTAAAATCGAGTTTAAGTGATCACAAATGTCACGAGGTCTGGGTGCATTCCCAGCAAATGGATTTGTCTCGACTTTCTGATCATCCTCATGACCATTCCTCGATTTGATCATCCTCTTGATCTCAGGTTCAACTGGTTTTAATGGCTCGTCAGGGTTACTTCGGGTCATACACCACGAAAACTGGAAAAAAAATAAGAAAAATAAAAGGTAAAATAATATAAAATAAATATAAACAAGTAAAATAACAATGCTATGACAAAACAATTTAACTTTCAGTTGCCAATTCCCCGGCAACGACGCCAAAAACTTGTCCGCTCGGTATGAGTACTATAAATGAATGCGGATATATGTGCAAGTATAGACAATCGAACAAGTAATACAGTGATAAGTTGAGTATCGTCTCCACAGGGAATTAGGGAAATCAAATAGGTTTGTCAAGGCACTTTACTTTGTCACCTAATTAAAGTTTGTAATGGTATGTACAAATGATAATGTTGTGGCAAAATTGAATGACTGATGTGGAAATAGAATGAGGTAATGTGGTAGCGAATGGATATGTCGTGGCAAGTTTAATTGTGTTGAATGCAAACAAATGGAAATGTTAAGGCAAAATAAAATGTAAATACTGGATTTAAAATGTAGGACTTTAGCTTTCTTACACGACAAGCTGCTATGGGAATGAGTTATAGGAGTCACTGGGAAAATCTAAGTATATTTCTCTGAATGGTATTTCTTTTATGCCTAACCTGCCCGATAGAGTCTACTAAGGTGCCCTATGCTATCTCTAGTAAGGGACTTGACAGATTAAAGATTCCCTGGCAAAATCGATTGGCGTAAACCCCTGTATTGATCCTATTGGTCCAGATAACAGGATATGTCTCGGCAATACCTTTTTACGGCAGCATTAACATCTAACCTATCGTTCTTGCACAACTTCTTTAGTCGAATGAAATCCTAACCTTATCTCTAAGGTAGATTAGGCCTAGTTACTACCTAGAACCCCTTGTTTATATAGTTCCTCCCTAGTTTCTCTCGAATACTAAGGATATTTTGCCAAGGCATTCTCTCGAACCCTAAAAACCTCCTAAGAAAAGGCTACTCTCGTAGCTCCTACAACCTTAAGGAATTAAGTTTCATAAACAAAACAGGTTAAAGCATAGAAAAACAACCATTCATTGAAATAAAAACTTAAACATCCAAGCGAACTCCCACCAAATAGGATTAGTTAATGGTGGGGTTCGAAATAAACAAGCACAAAGAAAGTTTCATTCATTCCTTAACACCTAATAATAAAATATGAAAGAAAAGAACTAAGGGAAGGAGAGAAAGCCTTCGACGTGCACTGTCTGAGCTTCCCTCGGCCACCAAGAACTGCCCTCAGAGATCTAGCTCCTCTCGGATGCTTAGAATGCCACTCCCTCAGGCTTGTCAAGGAGAAATGCCACAGCAAGTAGGATTGACTGAGAAAAGTGAGACCTTATCTCTCTATCTTTTTAAGTTAAAATCCGAGTGGAACCAAAGTCTTATTCAATGTGGCTTCATCCTCTATTTTTAGGGGAAAATTAATCCTAGGACTTGGTGTTGACTTTCCTAAGAAACCCTAAAACTATGGTTAAGTTACTTGGGAGTCGGGCAGAACAGGCTATGATACAACCTAGGTAGCTGGCTGAGTGATCGCATAATCCTGTTGCAGGCACCCAAGGACAGACATGATCTGCAGGGGCAGGCAGCGTCATCAGCAGAACCGGCGGTTGCAGTGCCGATCCCTCCAGGTGGATCTTCGAGGTAGATTTCTCGGGAAGAGCTCTTGGAGAGTAGAAGACAGTTGGCTCGAAAATATCTTCTCGCACTTTGCTCACTTTCGGAATGCCAGTCAAACTTGGCATTTTCATTATGCTCAGCAATCTCCTTATGTCATGGCATTTTCTTTCCTCTTTTCCTTGCTTTCAATTCCTGCACATCATCAGACAAGCATATTTCCCATAAGGCAACACCGCTTTAAAAATAAAATGCCACGACAAACTGAATTCCACCACATGTAACTAAATGCTTATAAATGCATCTACATGGTCCTAAATGAGCACTTAAACATTCAATAATTTAAGTGAAAATGTCCCAAAATGTGACCTTTTACGGAGTTATCAAACCCCCAAACTTAAGCTATTACTTGTCCTCAAGCAATGGATAGTAATAAGCAAAACAAAAATACTATGACAAGTTCAGAAGCAGAATAATTTTATGGGATAAAATTTCAGCCCTCATCACACATGGCTTCAACATGCTAGACTAGGTTTGAGGATTCAAGTACTGCCCCCTAGAACAAGATTCTTTGTGTGGGTGTGCGTGTTTGTATCTAACCCATGCTTAACAAACTTATAAAATTTCTACGCAAACTTTCTTAATTTGCCATGACATTAAAAAAAATCCACTCCCACTTCGGTTTCTTTTCTTTTTATTAACTTTTCTACGAGGGGAGTCAGCTCATCACTCTACCATCCCACACTCTAGGTGAAAGGGAGCATACCTTCTACCCCCGAGCTAGTCAAGTAGAGTCATCCCGTGACATCTTTCATTCACTCATATGCCATGGCATAGCGAAATATCCCTCTACATGCATTTATTCATAACTTCATTCATTTTTTTTAAACATAGAGGAGTTTTCTTCATTAAAAGTTATATGCCACGACATTTAGAATTATCTTATAAAAACTTTCTAAGTTTCTCAAGCATGAAAAACATACAATCGTGTATTCAAGGATTTCAAAGAAGCAAGTCCTAGAGTTGGTTCTATCATCCTCAACCAGTCATGTACATTTTATCCTAGCCATCAAGATTCATCATCATCGGGCATCCTTAACTAATTACAGAAAACTATTCAAACATTTACTAATGTTATGGCATATTTATTTTACTGATACTATCATGTAATGATGCGAGAACCCTACTTTCCCCAAACTTGAGAGAAACATTATCCTCAATGCTTACTAAGACTAAGGAAAATGAAACTACATGTAATGAATGTAATGCAATCCAAGGTACCTTGGCTCTAGGCGGGTGGTGGTGCAGCGGTCGCGCGCCGAGGGAAAAAAATGCTTTCTCAGTTTGATGGGATTGGAGTGTTCGGTGTCAGAAACGGGTGCAGCCGGAAGAGTACTGGGACCTTCAGGGATGATGGAGAGTTGGGCTCCTCGCGCTTAGATGACTTCTTCAGGCGATGTCTGCTCCTACGCAAGGGAGCTTTCCATGGCATCTCGGATTGGGACTCATCTGTTGACTCGGTGGGCTGTGGTACTTCGATGTGCTCTTTGTCCATTGGTGCGGTAGGCTGCGGTATATTAGGATGTTCTGCCGCCAGAGGTTTAACAAATTGTGGGGATTTCGGGCGATGAGCGAGTTAGAGGTTGGCTTTTTGATCTGTATCAGGCGACACAGCATGGACGGGATCAAGGTCGGCGGGCTCTTTTGCTTCAGCGGGCTCTTCTACTTCAGCGGGCTCTTCTACTTCAGCGGGCTGGGGACTTTCTGCACTGGGTGATTGATGAGCGTCGTCAGTGGTGGGATTAGGTACTTCTATAGATGCCTTGACATCCTCATTTGGTGGCACTAGTGATGCAGGGAAGTCTGGGATGGTAAGTTCGTATGCGGGAGAAACTCTAAGAAGGCGTTGGTGAAAAACTCATCACGGGGCTTAGCGTAGGCAAAATATGTCAGCAGTTTTTCGGACAGCTGCCCGACTCGCTCTTGCGTTCGCTGGATTGCCTGCTCCAAGGCATCTGAGTTTGCCCTGGCATGTGGAGATGGTGAAACACGAGATGTGGTCGCCTCTTTTTCCTTTCCTTTGTTTTCTTCAAACCCAACAACATAGGGATTTTTGCCGTGGTAATTCCAGCAACACCCAGTAAAATCTCGTCAAACTGTTCTTCAGGCTTCTTTTTACGGCATAAGGCAGCGATGAGATTCAGAAATACCAGGGCACTTGCAGGTAGCTTTAGGCATAATTGGGCTTGTTCTACAATGATTTTCCCTACGTCAATGGGGCGCCCGAATATGATTGAGTGCAGTAAAAGCATCCATTGGCAAGACGCAATGGTGTTGTGGGAAGTGGACAAAAGCTTGTGCTTCATAAAATGGTTCCACGACTTCACTTGCGGGAGCAGCTTCTCCCGGTCCATGGTCCTACGACACAGTTGCTGGTCATTCCATTGGGTGTCGGGAAGACATAGGTCTTCCAGAATGCCTTGGTATGTTTCGTTGTCTACGTCTTGCGCGAATGTGGTATGGTGGTCTTTCAGAACCTGCAATTTAAAGTAACGATTAATAACAGTAGGAGTAAATTGAATAGAAATGTCGCGAACTACGACGGCATGTTGGTTTGTCTCAGCGATGTTTGAGTAAAACTCCTTCACTATCAATGCGTTGACAGTGGCAGGGTGCTTGGAAAATTTTTGCCACTTATACTTATTAACCACGTTGAGCACCTCATTTCCAAAGGCAGCATCCTCCTCCTCAGAGAAGACAAACCCTAACTTGAAAAGATCCATCATTTTTTGATGGTTTGGAAATAGTCTCGGGCGGCATCATCCACAAAATGTGGTGGTATAGAAGAAGATGGTCGGGATCGTACCATGATGAAAACACAAAGTAAGGAAAGTGGTGGAAAGCGTGGAGCTTGCTTGGCTATGGAGGTTCGGTCAAAACGGAGGGAAGAAGAAGTTGAAAGAAAGTAAAAGTAAAAAGGTAACGTAAAAGTGAAAAAAGATAAGAACAAAAGAAAGATTTTGGGGGAATATTAAATAGGAAGGTGGGGTCTAGGCGGGAAGAAAAAGAAAAGAAAGAGTAAAAATATTTAATCCTAAGTAAGAGTGAAAAGTGAAAAAGTTTCCCTCATTTTACTATTCACATTTGTCGCCTAAATTTTCACAAGCTTTCACCATACACCTCACGTGCTAGCCATGTGGAATATCCCTTGCAACAAAAATAAAATAAAAGCAATTACTTAAAAAAAGACTAAAATAATGACAAAGTCAAAATTATTTAGGCATAGGAGTAAATTGAAAATGTCCCGGCATCCTTAAAATACTGGGCTAGTATCGACGTCATGCAAGAGAATCGCCGACTTGTCACGTAATGGCGGGACTGCCTGGTAAGCCTTCAGGCGCTGACCATTGACTTTAAAGATGGACTCATCATCCATGTTCTTAATATCAACAGCGCCGTAAGGGTAAACATGGTGGACTTTGAATGGTCCTGACCACCGTGACTTCAGTTTTCTCGGGAAGAGTTTGAGCCTAGAGTTAAACATCAATACTTTTTGGCCCACATGAAAATACTGTGGGAATCGTATTTTTTCGTTTCACTTCTTGGTCTTTTCCTTGTAGAGCTTGACATTTTCTTTTGCTTGCGCTCGAAACTCCTCTATTTCTTTCAGATCGAGTAATCGTTTCTCCCCAGCGAGTTGTGCGTCAAAGTTTAGTTTCTTTATCACCCAGTATCCCTTGTGTTCTAGCTGAACTGGTAGGTGGCAGGCTTTTCCATATACCATCTTGAAGGGAGATATTACCATATGTGTTTTGAATGCCGTCTTGTAGGTCCAGAGTGCTTCATCGAGTTTTGGGGAGCAGTCTTTCCTTCGAGGGTTCACCACCTTCTCTAAAATTTGTTTGATCTCACGGTTGGACACTTCAGCTTGCCCGTTAGTTTGGGGGTGATATGCCGTGGTAATTTTATGTCATACTTCGTATTTCTGTAATGCCTTGGCAATGAGCCTGTTATCAAAGTGGATGCCTTCAACGCTGATAATGGCCAGTGGTACTCCAAATCGAGTAAAGATTTCTTGTGAAGAAACTTGAGCACCGTCTTCGAGTCATTCCTCGGTGTGGTAATCGCTTTAACCCACTTAGACACGTAGTCAACAATAAGCAAGATGTATAAATCTCCAAAGAAAGATGGGAATGATCCCATGAAATCAATGCCCCAAACATCAAAAAGCTCTATCTCTAAAATATTTTGCAACGACATTTAATGTCGTCTGGAAATGTTTCCAGTGCAGTGGAATCTGTCACACGCTTTACAAAATTCGTGGGCATTCTTAAATAGTGATGGCCAATAGAATCCTGATTGGAGGACCTTTATAGCAGTCCTCACACCTCCAAAATGCTCTCCACAGGGTGGTGTGTGGCAATGGTGTAAGATATCGCGTTGCTCTTCTTCGGGGACACATCGTCGAATCATTTGATCGGTACATTGCTTGAATTAGTACGACTCGTCCTAAAAATAGAACTTGGCATCATGCAGAAACTTGTTTTTACACTGGATGTTCAATTCATAAGGAAACACACCACTAACAAGAAAATTATCAAGGTCAGCGTACCACGGAATTGTCGTGGCATATAAAATTTTCTCATCAGGGAATTCTTCTTTAATATCAAAAATGTCATGGCATTCAGAAATGTTTTCTAGCCTAGATAAATGATCTGCAACTTGGTTCTCAGTACCTTTCCTATCAATGACCTCTAAGTCAAACTCTTGCAGTAGTAATATCCACCTAATAAGTTTAGGCTTGGCATCTTTCTTGTTCACTAAGTATTTTATAGCTGAGTGATCGGTTTGAACTTTGACTTTGGTACCTATCAAGTATGGCCTAAACTTGTTAATTGCAAATACCACAACAAGTAATTCTTTCTCAATGGTGGTATAATTTAATTGTGCCTCATTCAAGGTACGACTAGCATAATATATAACATGAAAATTTTACCTCTACGTTGTCCAAGCACAGCTCCCACAGTAAAATCACGTGCATCACACATTAATTTGAACGGTGTCGTCCAGTCTGGGGGACCACGATCGGTGCAGAGATAAGTCTTTGCTTCAGCTCTTTGAATGCGCCATGGCATTTCTGACATGAATGGTTAGTTTTGTTGCAGCAAGGTGCACAAGGGCTTGGATATTGTGGATAAGTCCTTGATGAATCATCTATAAAATCCAATATGGCCAAGGAAACTCCGAATGCCCTTAAAACAAGTTGGTGGGGGTAGCTTCTTGATCACCTCGATCTTGGTATTGTCTACCTCAATGCCCTTTGCAAAAAATTTATGGCCTAGAACAATACCTTCGGTCACCATGAAGTGGCCTTTTTCCCAGTTCAACACAAGATCGGCCTCCTCGCATCACTTCAGTACCTTTGCCAAATTGTCGAGGCATTTTAGAAAGTCATCTCTAGAAAGAGAAAAATCATCCATGAAAATTTCCAGAAAATCCTCAACCATGTCAAAAAATATGACTTGCATGCAGTGTTGAAAAGTTATTGGGGCATTACAGAGTCCAAAAGGCATTCTTTGAAAAGCATAAGTGCCATAGGGGCATGTGAATGTTGTCTTCTCTTGGTCATCTGGTGCGATGGCAATTTGATTATACCCCAAGTATCCGTAAAAGAAACAATAAAATGCCTTGCCAGCAAGTCGATCTAGCATTTGATCGATGAACGGCAAAGGGAAATGATCCTTCTTGGTGGCCTTGTTAAGCTTGCAGTAGTCCATGTAGATTCGTCACCCGGTGACTGTGTGTGTAACTCATTGTCTTCACTCATCACCACAGTCGTGCCTCACTTCTTCGGCACACATTGGACGAGACTTACCCAAGAATTATACAAAATGGGGTAAATCACTCCAGCGTCAAGCCATTTGAGAATCTTTTTCATCACAACTTGCTTCATGATTGGGTTTAATATTCGCTGTGGCTCTATGGATTTGCCATGACATTCTTCTAGCATGATTTTGTGCATGCAAATTGTTGGATTTATTCCCTTCAGATCTGCCACCGTCCATCCTAACGCTCTCTTATGCTATGACAAAACACTCAGATTCTTGGTTAGGGGTAAGGGCAAAGGAAATAATCACATGCAAAGTATCATTACTACCCAGATAAGCATATTTAAGATGTCGTGGCAAATTCTTAAGTTTTAGGGTAGGGGCATGCTGTAATGAGGGCTTGGGAGAAACAAACTCTTAAAAATTCAAAGATTCAAAGCGTGTACCTGGGTTAGCTTTGAGGAAGCTAGCCTGCTATTCCTCGGTAGAAAAATCATTAGGCTCTCCAGCCTTTAAGTCTTCGAATAGCCCCTCATCATGTCCCATTTGAATGAAATTGTCTTGGAAAAATTGATATGCTTCTTTTGCAATTGCTATATCTATTTCTAAAATACTTTGGCATTCTTCAGCATCATCCATGTACTTGAGAGATCGAAAGACATTCACAGTGACATGTTGATCGCCACTCGTATGGTCGCTCGCCCCTCTCATAGTCAATGAAAATACGACCGGTAGCTAGGAAGGGTCTCTCAAAGATGATGGGTGCTATGGCGTCAACCTCATAGTCCAGAATCAGAAAATCATCAGGAAAAATAAATTTGTCAACCCGCACGATGACATCTTCAATTCTCCCTTAAGGACGCACATGTGAATGATTGGCTAATTGTAAGATGACATATGTTGGTCTCGTATTTCCTATCCTAAGCTTCACGAAAATTGACTTAGGCATGAAGTTCACGCTTGAGCCAAGGTCACATAGTGCTTTCCCAACAAATTTGTCTCCTATCGAGTATGGGATGATAAAACTCCCTGGATCATATCTCTTTGGTGGAAGCTTGCTTAAGGAGGAGCAAAATTCTTTTGTCGTGGCAATTGTCTCGTACTGCTCCACTTTTCTCTTCTTGGTAACAATTTCCTTGAGGAATTTAGCATATGTAGGCATTTTTTCTATAGCCTCCAGAAAAGGAACATTGATTTGAAGTTGACTCAGAATGTCAACAAATTTCCTAAATTGAATATCCTCGTTATGCTTCTTCAATCTTTATGGAAAAGGAGGTGGGGGTCTGACTTCCTGTACTGACGGGGTGCGAATAGAAGTTTCCTTGGAATTTTTGTTTGCCCCCTCAGTTTCTTTACTTGATAAACCCGCATCCTTATCCTCTTCTACTGGTGCTTCTTCCTGCACTTCTTGCTCATCTTGCACAGTACAAGGGGTGAATCATCATTTGGTCTTCCCCCAAACTTGTCTTCAACATTAATTTGTGTACCACTTCAGAGAGTTAGCACACGGGCATTGCTCTTTGCCATGAGTTTTCGTGACTTCAGTGTCACTCGAAAAATGTCTTGGTCTGTGTTCTTGTAATGCTGCGGAAATTTGACCAACCTGACTCTCCAATGCCCTTAGCGACGAACTATGGCTCTGAAGCAGGGCCCCTTGATTTTTGATGGAGGTCGCACGGTCTTGCAGCATTGTCTTCGTTGTTGCTATGAACTCTTGCATTGTGGCCTCCAAAGAACTGGTGTTTGATGAAGATGATCCTCACTTGTTAGAATTATACCATGGCATATTCGATTGAAATCCCTGGGAGTCATTAAAATTCTACTGCCGAGCTGGTTGATGAGCATTGCCGGTACCTTGATTTCTCTACAAAAAAATTTGGATGTTGTCGCCATCCATGATTATATGTGTTAGAGTAGGGGTTGTTGTTACCTCTTTGAAGTTTCCTACAAATTTGATGGATTCTTGATTGGTCGGGTAGTCACTCTCATTGTGATTGCCGTGGCATAATAAACATGCTGAATTGGCTGCCTTTACTTTTCTCACCTCACTTGGCCTTTGCAAATTCTTTAACATATTGGTGATAGCAGCAAGTTGGGAGGACACCATATCCTTAGAATCTAGCTCAAAAGCTCCATGTGATTTCTCCCAAGTCCAAGCCTTGTGGATGGAAACTGATAATCGTTGGTGGAAATCTTATCCAGAATGTCAAATACCTCTGCTGGTAATTTGTCAAGTAACGTCCCATTTGCCGAGGCATCTAGCATCATCCTCGTGGGTGTATTTACTCCATTATAGAACATCACCACTTGCGTCCAATCTTGAAAAGCATGATTCGAACAATTACGAAGTAATCCTTTGTATCGATCCCAGCACTCATACATCGACTCGTCATCAGCTTGCTGAAAAGAAGCAATGACGTTCCTCAGTTGGGTGTTCATGTTCGAAGGATTATACCATAGCAAAATATTTTTGCACAGATCAGTCCATGAATCCATTAAACCCGCTGGAATGCCACTCAACCATACCCTTGCTCGGTCACGCAGGGAGTATGGAAATAATTTTAATTTCAGAACATCTTCGTGCATTCCTTGTTGGCGAAATGAATCACACACCTCCAAGAAGTTACGAATATGTTGTCTGGCATCTTTATTTGGCATACCACAATTCCAGGATTTAAATAGTCTAAAATTGGGTTTAAGTGATCACGAATGGCATGAGGACTGGGTGCATTCCTAGCAAATAGATTTACCTCGACAATTTTTATCATCCTCATAACCATTTCCTCAATTTCCGATTTGGTACATAATTTCACGTTGAGCACATCATCTTCTCCTAAAAAGCCTCTCGATCTCATGATCAACTGGTTCTAATGGCTCATCAGGGTTACTTCTGGTCATACACCACGAAAACTGGAACAATATAAGAAAAATAAAAGGTAAAGTAACATAAAATAAA